ACTTCTATGCAAAGTCATTTCTCAACTTGTGTTCCGTGCCATGTCATGCCTGTTAATATTTATTTATATTCACATTAAGAAACTACTGCACTAAAACATTAATTCATAAATGTATATCATATGATTTTATTTCTTTTTCCCAGTATAAATAACACGTACCCTGACTGTTCTACTCTTTGAATAAAATCACTTCATTCAAGCGTTAGGGAGTGCAAAGGGTTCTGATGGAGGGGTGTTGCAAATCATGAGGACAGTCCTTGGTCCTTGGCCTTGGCCTCGGAAGCAAGTCCTTGGTCCTTGGCCTTGGCCTCGGAAAATTTTTCAAGTCCTTGGCCTTGGCCTTGCCTCGGAAAATTTTCCAAGTCCTTGGCCTTGGCCTTGGCCTCGGAGGCAAGTCCTTGGCCTTGGCCTTGGCCTCGGGTTGCCGGTCCTTGGACACATCCCTGCAGCACGAGGTTGCTGGGATTGTACTGCTTCACATGCTTCCATGGGTGCACATTATATGACTGACGCAACTTCAGGCACACCTTCTTTTTCTGGTTGGATGTGTTTCTTCAGGCGTAGTAATTTAGTTTTATTACAGGCCCAACATGAGGCCAGGGCGGGCTGATTTCTTATTTTATTTTTTTTTCCACAGATCATTGCGCCCATATACTATTGTCAGACTATACTGAAATTTCTTCATTAAAGTGGATTACAAAAATATTATATTAACATTTTAGAAATGAAACCTCAGACACACTGATTAAACTCTGATATCCTGTATCATTCATGTGTTTATTTTTGCCACCACGGCGTATGATTTTTCACAGCTGCCCATCAAGATTAAGAAACAATAAATGGAATTAAATGAGGCAGGTGAAGTATCAGATAAAGTCTAACTTAGATCAGTATAAGTGTTTAATCACAGGAGATGAACCCTATCTAGTCTAATTAAATTGTATTTTCTAATGAAACGAGGGGTATTATGAGAATTTGTCTTCAGGAGCCTGTAATGCCATTGTTCTTTTACCACGCTTTTTGGAGGCATACTTTTTCATCCTTATGGGCCGTTCATCTTTTGTTCATATTATATATTCCACAAGATGAAAATGTGACTTTTGCAGCTACCTCAGTCTTTAAAGGCAACTGCCAATGTTTATGAAGCATTCATAATAGTACTTTGACATAAAAAACACTTATGATGAAAAGAGATGTTTTTTTTCCCCCACTTTGACATGATCATACTATTATGTGCTTATATAGCTGCAAAATCATAAACACAAACATTATAACAATCATCAAACTCATTATGCTCGTATTCCTACACAGGATAAGTGCTATTGAATCTTAAAAAAAAGGTCACAGTAATATTACTGGTACATTTAGTTTTTAGGAGTAAAATGTATGTATGTATTTATTTATTTATTTAGGAGCAATTAGTCCTAGTATGCGACTGTATTTTATCGTTGGTCATCATGGTTGTACTTAGAGAGCCATATACTTTTTTAGTCAATTCAAGTCAAGTACAACTTTATTGTCAAATGTGCAGTATGTGCAACATACAGCACAGATGAAATTTCTTCCCTCTGAAACAGACAACAAGACAACAAGCAGAGCTGCTGCGGGTGCCCGCGCCACGATCAAAAGAACAGTGAACATAAAATGACAAAATAATACAACACAACAGATAAGACACAGACAGTCGTGCAATCTTTACCACTTTTCCTGCATACACTTTGTTTTTTGTTGTTAGGTGGTAAAAGGTTTGACAGCCACTGTCATAATATAAAACAAAAGGCCAAACTATGGCATGTGCATTTATTATAATTCATCAAGATAAACTGGATTTAAAATTGTTGCATTTGTTTTTGTACAGATCAAGAACTGCTGGAGGACGTCATAACTGACGGCGGCTCTTTTATCTCTCACCCAATAGTAAGTGAGCTCTTACAGTGAGAACTTTTGAACCCCGAGATGCAGTTGACAGCACCAAGAACAAACAAACAATGTTAACCTTTATTACACGATGAAAAATCCATCCATTCAGTTTTCTAGTTCGGCCTATTTTTTCCTTGTGTGTGTGTGTGTGTGTGTGTGTGTGTGTGTGTGTGTGTGTGTGTGTGTGTGTGTGTGTGTGTGTTTGTAGCATTCTTAATTTCAGACTTTCATTCCCGGGGCTCTCAACCGAAGCTTTACACAGCTCTCTCCAATATTCATGTCCTGCTGTTCACACAGCACACGCTCTTTGTTCTGATCTCCAGCCTGTAATCACGAACAGTGATACTGATGGATTGCATTCACGCATTCCTCTTCTCCATCCACAAAGGACTTTGTGTGTCTTTTATGTCCTCTGTCACTCCTGAATGACAACCCACTCTTTGGAATAATGTTCAGGGAAAGATCTCTTTGTAAATGACATGCACTCCTTCAAGGTAATGTCATATTTGGGCTGGAAGATGATTTTTGGTAGAAGAGGGTCAGGACACAATAGATTGAAATAAATAATGGACACACTAAAGTCCTGAATTTAAAGGCAAACCAAACTAAAGCTTCAGAGAGAAGAAATTTTGCTGAAGTCTTCAATTTAGTCAATTTCTTGAATTTAAATTGTGCTTAAAAGAAACATTTGAATGCTTCTTTGTACTTCGTCCTAATGCTTCAGGTGATCTTTTCATTTGTAGTTAGTTTCAAGGTGTTAGGCCACTGGACAAGTTGCCTGATGCCACTAATCTGCATGTAAAGTGAAGCATCGTCTTACTGAGCTGAAGGACAGCTATACTATTTACAATAACGTAGTGGTGAAATCAAAATTCTCTCATATTATGTGGTATGGCGGCCCGGTGGTCCAGTGGTTAGCGCGTCGTCCTCAAAGTGCAGAGGTTGTGGATTCGATCCCGGCTCCGGGCTTCCTGTGTGGAGTTTACATGTTTTCCCCGTGCCTGTGTGGGTTTTCTCCGGGTACAGTACTCCGGTTCCCTCTTACACTCTAAAAACATGCATGGCAGTCTGATTGAAAACTTGAATTGTCCCTAGGTGTGAGTGTGTGCGTGGATGGTTGTTCATCTCTTTGTGCCCTGCGATTGGTTGGCAACCGGTTCAGGGTGTGCCCTGCCTGCGACCCTTGTGAGGAAAAAGCGGATCAGAAAATGGATGGATGATGTGGTATGCTTTTACTGAATTGCATCGGTCCAAAAGCAATCGGTTGAATTGCACACACATGCTGCTGTTAGTAGCCAGCCCATCACTAGTGTGTGCTGCCGTTTGAGCAAATATCTCTACCCTGGAGGAGATTGTCATGAAGTTACTTTTTACACTACTCATAAAACGATGCCTGGAGAAGATGAAGGCTTCTTCTGTTCCGAAAACTTGGATAGTAATAAAACACACACAGGTGTGTAGTGAGCCAGAAAAGGGCAACCTCGACAAGTTGTCTTTGATGATGGAACCGTCATGAATTTTGATGATGGTCTAGTTAAGAAGCAAATATCCATCCATATGGGTCATTCTGGATTTGGAGGACTGTCCTCCCCGACAAAATTACAAGCACTCCATGCAGACAAAATACAGAAACATACTGTTGTTGTGTAAACAATGGATGTCACGAGACAATATGAATCTATAGATAAAGTAAAAAAAGATTTAAATGCATTTTATATCCTCTCTCTCCATGAGCAGGTTACATCTCAGACAGATTAAAAAAAGTTTTCAGGTTTACTTGATATGATGTTTTTACGTCTCCCTTGTAATTCTTAAAATCTTTTGTTTTATTGCAGCCATATTTTAAATGGTCACAATTATTCCCTGAAGTTGTCTCTGTCAACAAACATGCTGTTATTAAAACCTATAGAGGAAGTGACTGAAAAAAAAAAACGTGCGCTAAATGACTTGGCGGAAATGACATCACAAAACTAATTGCGCTGACCATGGGCAGACAGACCTAACATCTCACAACGTCCTTTTGGATGAAATGACAACAATTACTTTTATAGCTGCAGTTAGATACTTTTATTCCACTTCCGCATTCTGTAAGGTAACATCAGGCTATCCGAATACTTTTACCTATATTGCGTGCTGTGATCCATGAATATCCAATCACACAAACACTCACTCTCACACACCTCGTGAATTGCTCTTCCTGTATATTGTGGTGCGGCTTGTTACTCTGCATCCTTCAAATAAGACAGCCGGAATGAGACACGTTTGAGAAATTGCGCCCATCTTTTTTTTTTTTTTTTTACACTGCTGGTGTCTATAAAGTTCAACCTTGATAGAGACAGGAGGCACGGTGGAAGCAGACTGGCCGGTAAAAGTGACGTACATCAGGGTACGCGGGGTGGGGGGTAGAAAGGGAGAATAAAGGCGATATAGATACGTAGAGTTTGAGTTGTAAAAGAGCCTCTGGCATTCCGGATCACAATGGAGTGAGGAAATTAACCCTAAATCCTGGGGAGAATTGAAAGAGCCTGAAGGACATTGGGGAATCGAGGGACTAAGCAGGAATAGCCCCACACTCGGTGTGAAATGAGCCACGTGAAACATTAATCGAATACACTGTTCCATTTTATGTCCTTGAACTCATGTGAAGAAAGGTTTTAATTATGTTACCAGATTTAGACTGACATGCAACTTTGGGTGTACAGTAGAGTGCTATCTTATGTTATTAAAATAGTGACATGGTAATGTACTGCTATACTTGCAGCTCACCTGTTCAAATATAGATGAACACTTAACAGGAAAACGCTGTAGTACACGGGTGTCAAACGCAAGGGTTCATTCTGCCGCATCATTTTATGAGGCACACGAAAGCCTGAAAATGTGATGAGACAATAAGGCGAATCTGCTTTTTTTTTTCTTTCTTCCCGAATGCAATTGACGAGACGGAGAACAGGAGGGGGAGGAGTCTATTTCTCATCACTTTTATCTTCAGATCATTGAATGAAAGAATATATATTTTGTTTCTAAACTCCTGTTTAAAAATCTACAATCGGATACAGTAGTTTATTTTCACTGACCTCTGATTTTAAAACAGTGCGTCAATGTGGTGCTAAAAGCAAAGACCAAATGCATCTGGAAATATTTAACAATATATGTATATATGTTTATATTGTTTCAATTAAAAGTGCTTCTCTGACAGATTTCCCATGTGTTTGGGCGATTCTTATGGTTCAGCGAATCCAAGGTTGAACTTTTTGCTCATGATTCCAAAAGCTATGTTTGGCACAAACACAAAACTGTCCATCGTCAAAAGAGGACCGTGCCAACAGTGAAGCATTCTGTTGACAGCGTCATGCATCGGTCTTCTTTTTCTTCCACAACTTCAAAGTGGAGGGAATGATGAACGCTTCGAAATAGCAGTCAGCGTTAGCACAAAGTCTTCTGCTAGAAAGTGGGGAAAAAAATGTAACGAACAGATGAACTTCACTCAGGTTAATCAAAAGCCCTTCAAATGGTAATAGGTGTATACTGACATAATCTAACATGAGTTTGAATGTGATTGGTTAAGTCTCAATGCAGCCACATCTCACTTATCAAAGGGTGTGCAGATTTGCACATTCTTTCCGTTGTTTATACGTACTTCAACCAGGGGCAGAGCGACACGGTGGCCAGGGGTGGCCATGGTCACCCCTTGTCATTCTCTGGTCCACACCTAGAGAAAAATGTTAATATTTGTGATTTTTCTGCCTTTTTCACATGGATGAATTATTCTTAGACCTCTCAATACTCTTCCAGAAGTTATTTATATTAACTGCATGTTAAACAAGCATATATACACAATTGATCTGAATGACAACTTTAAAATGATCTGTCTTAGATGACAAACTTTTGATTCTTGCTGTCCACATCAATCAAAATCATGACTTTCACACCATATCAAGCAAATAGACCATTATGTTATATCATACCATCCACAATCATGGTTTCATGAAATGAAACACACACACACAACAACTTTACACACACATTCACAATACAAACAGAAGCAAACTAAGGTAAAACAAAGAAAAACAATGTTCCGAATTGCATAGAATTAAAGAGATTTTTGTGGCGTACTTTTTAGACATGATTTGAATGAATGAGTCATTGAGTCCTCTAGTAAATTATGATCAGCAAAAGTTGCTTTTTACATGACTTGTTCATGCCTCATTGTGAGCATGACGGCCATTGTCCTGGATATGTGTGAATCGAATTTCATGAAACCCTGACTGTGGCTAGTATGATCAAGAATGATGCCAAGTATGTACAGGCACTCGTGGCCCCCCCTAATGGAGCTTGGCTACAATTTCAAGCTACTGAGTGAAAGACAAAAACAACAATTAAACTGTACTTGTTATAGACTACATAAATGGTGCAAAAAATTTTCAAACAACTTGGTGTCATTTTTCAACCTGGCATTTGAACAAGAGTAAATGGACTTTTTATAACTGCATTGTGGCCCTTGATAAAAAACAGGGCTGACATTCCAGTAGGATGACACCTTATTCAAACAAGAGCATGTTATAATTCTCAACCCAGAAAAACAAATGATCAAATTGACAGAAATGGCCTATCTTGGTTTTGTCTTGTTGCTGAGGTGACTAAACACGGCCAACGTGCTTACTGGCCACTTTCACGTTAGTGGGATACTGTTGTCCAGCAACGTAATGACTGGGAATTTTCCCACAGCTAAAGATTTAAACTTGGTGAAGGCCAAGTGGTACTTGATGGACAAAAAGTGTTTTAGTTGTCTTTTATTGCTTGTTGCTTTGGACATATGCATTGGGAGATTTTTTTTTGAATGTACAATCTATTACTGTGCAATGTATTACATCATACTCGGCTGAACGCAAAGTACTGATATGGAAAAGTGTAAGGCCCTGCCATCTTTTGTGATCAATTGTTGACACATGCAGCAGTTGGAAAGGAATTTGCCTTTTAAATTCATCCTTTTGGATTCAATGCTTCACGGATGGTGAGTAAGGGACCATCTTGCCAGTTGTGCTCCCATTTCTTGGGAAATGCATACACCCAGTGAAATGCACTGTTATGATGCCACGTTTGGTGATTTGAGCTTCCAGCATATACAAACATGATATTGTGCCCCTAATGGGGCCAGAAGTCTCCAGACATAGTCATGCTTTATTCATTTCCTCCCCTCACCAAATAACTGTGTTGCTTTTGTCCTCCAGCCAGATGATCAAATGAGCCTTTTTGCTGTCATGCTCTATGACCTCAAGGACAGGAAGTTTTTCCCGCAAGACCCCACAAGGAAGGAGTCGATACGGGAAGTCAGAGATGTCGAGAACTATCTCATCAGGTAGAAAAAGAAAATTGAGCTGGAGCCATTCCCGACTGACGTGGGACGAGCAGTCACAGCCTGAACAGGTCGCCAGGCAATTGCCGGACACATATTGCCAAATAAGCACAGAACTTGACATTCGCACCTACAGACAATCTAGAGCAGAGGTGCCCAAACTTTTTGGACCGAAGATCGACTTTTCGATCAACCAACCTCCTGTAATCGACCCGTTAACGCGCACGAGCACGCGCATGCACGCCATGATGAGCAACAGCCTGACACGGAGGCCTGCGACGCACTTTTGCAGCATGTTAACTATCGTAGCTCACACGTACCATTTTAAAGTGCTTCCCTCGGCCCTCTAGATTCCTATTCTTTGCCCGTGCCCTCGGTGAATTGTACACGAAACTCACTCTGAATGAGAATAATGAAAACGATAAAAGACATAGCGCAACAGCTCTGATCACAAGCTGCAATTGCAGACTGCTGAGCGCTAACAACTTCCGGTGACGCAGGTCACGCGCCACCGTAGGTTAAAGATTTACCTGCTTTATTTTATTTTATTTTTTTAAATACTTTTTGTGAAAATAAGACTGATCGGATGATTAGGGTGCACATGAACACAAAAAATATATTACTAACATGCACAAAGACACACAAATTGTTGTTTGTTTTTTTTCTCCTCTAGACCACTCGCGATTGACTTGGGACCAGTCCGCGTTCTACCGGTCGATCGCGATCAACGTAATGGGCACCCCTGATCTAGAGTCTTCAATTAAATGAACGTGTGTTTTTGGAATGTAGGAGAAAGTCAGAGAACCCGGAGAAATTTCCATCCAGTAGGCCCTGCGCTGCAACTTTTTACACAGAACAGCTTGAATGTGAAGCAGACGTGCTACGCACTACTTCAACCTACCTTTGGATGATCCTCACGATTGGGGTTTTCCTTAGCCCACCATGTTTGATGAAGTTGAAGTGGTGCTGCTAAATTGATCCTCAGGCCAGTCCGAAAGCTGGAACAATTAAATGGATCGCAAAACGGCAAAAGTATATTAAAGTGGTGAATTCACACCGTTGTCCATATCGTCAAAACGTATTCCTTACTTTGTATGCGCGAATATGAAAGACACTTCAATTTGAGTTGCTAATTTACCAACCACTTTGACTGCAGTCTTTTAAGCATTCACAACTTAGATTTTACCAGAGTAATGTGGCATAAACACAAGTCAGATCACAACAATAATGTAAACAAATCTGTGGCTTCATCTACTTTTCATATTTCACGAAACGATATGCAAACATGTGGACTGCACTTCTTAAGCACTGAACTTATCTGGACACGAAATAAATAAAATGCACATACTGACAGCCTTCCGACTAACCAAAAGAAAGCCTTTATTTTCCCCCAAAATTGCAATCTTTGCAATTTGAAAATAACATCTCGACTACTTTATGATGTCGATTTGAATTCAATGATTTGTTCCATAAGAAAAAAAAAAACACGACTCTATACTGTATGTTGTTTTCAGGTTCAAGACAAAGCTGGAGGCCTCACTGGCCAGATATAGAATCAAACATGACCTTTCATCTCTTGACTGCATTCTACCCGAGAGTGTGAAGGTGAAACAGGAGAGATCCAACAGGCTGCCACTATACGCATGGGTCAACACTTTGAGGAGCAGGTCAGCACACACGCATACGAAACAATTACACGCTCATGCACACACACTGAGGAAATGAGTACTCGTGCACTATGTAACTCCTTTTGCCACTGCATGCAGACTTTTCAGTTTGGTACTGCTTCCTCATATTTTATAGCCCAGGTGCCCAGCTGACACCCAATTAAACTCTGTGTGTGAATGTGTGTGAATGTGTGTGCGGATGGTGAGTGCATGTGGTTGTGTTACGATATACAACAGTGTCTTCTGGACAGGGCTGATTCACTCAGGTGTAAATCGTGCCACTGAGGACAGATTCAATCAGCAACTACCCTCAGTCAGCTCTGAGATCGGAAAGGTCATACCTGGGATCTGTGCCAGGGTGTGTGTGTGTGTGTGTGTGTGTGTGTGTGTGTGTGTGTGTGTGTGTGTGTGTGTGTGTGTGTGTGTGTGTGTCCTAATATTTTTGACAGCATCAAGATAGATATAAAGTCCTTTTAAAAGGCCACACAACGTTTCTATTGTCGTATAGATCAATCCAGAATTACAAGGCATTTAAGCACCAACGTATTTTAAAAGTGTATGGTGGCAGTGGACTCAACTCACCTCTCACACCAAGTTACAGTTTGACAGATAGTGGGAAAAAAAGGCTTCAAGATGTTTAATGCCACTCCCGCTTAAAGTTTATTGCAAATTAAAGACAAAACAAAGAGAATTACACGTGTATTTGAAACAGGCTAAAAAATGTAATCAATGTCGAATCTAGTTTTAGAAGCAAAGGGTATTTTAACACAAACGGTGGAGCAACACGTTGACCGATAATATAATAGGTGTATATTCTTATCCTGGGTGAAGAATGACTCATATTACTGCAGCATACTGAGTTGCTTAGAGTGGAAGTCTTCATAACATGTGTTATACTGCTCCCCATTGCAACACACTAGACATTTTTTTTGGGAGGGGGGGTGGAGAGATTTTATTTTCTTTATAAAAAAAAAAAAAATTGTGCTTTGGGAATGTCCTTCAATTGTGGAATCGCCCAGGCAGTATATTTTCTCTTCCACCTCCTACGTTGTCCTCACCCACCTATACTTTGCTTCCAGTCTGGATGAGGTCCAAAATGTGCTGATGGATGCAGGCCTCTCCCAAGTGAATTCCATCAGGCAGTTGGAAGGGCAGACCTTCTGCCAGGATGCTGACTGTGAGGATTTGCTGGTATTCCCCACTCAAATGAAAGAGAGGCTGGATTCCACCAAGCTGCTTCACAACCTCAAACTCGTCATGCAGGTTCAGTCCACTCATGGACACACACACACACACACACACACACACACACACACACACACACACACACACACACACACACACACACACACACACACAGGACTGGTACCAGTGTCCTCTGATATTTATAGCTTATGTCTCAAAGTGATTACAAAGCGGCATGCAATCCCTCATGCCAACCAAGATGAGTTTGCCCAGAAACTACTGTAATATTTCACATCACTTCCTCACATCACATCATACTTCACTTTGAGACATAACAAATCTCCTGTCACATGCTTGTGCTTCACGACAATACAGTTGGTTCATTCTCAGCATTGATCAATTTCTCAACTCCCAAAAACTATTCATCACAGCCCCTTGTTGATACTTGTTCTGTGATCATTCTCCTCTTACTGATACCTTTATAATCAGCTAGAGGAAGAAAAAAGGGAGCCTGAACATGACACAACAGAAATCAAGTATCAGGTATCAAGTCCAACTTTATTGTCAAATGTGCTGATGAAATTTCTTTCCTCTCACAACACACAACATACAAGATGACATCATCAAGCTAATTGCCCTGACCCTGGGTGGATTTTTCATATTAGTTTCGGTTTTCAACTAAAACTCATTACTCATCTGATCAAAAACGACATTGATATACATTTTTTCCCTCTATTTATATATAGCTGAGTTTGTTGTTGATGAATGAGCAAAGCAATTGCCACAGCTAACGTGTACTCCTGAGCAGCCATCTCGTTACCTCTGCGTCCCGCGTCCTAGACGCATAATTTTCTCGCCAGACGCACAGTTCCAGATAATGTGCGTTTTTGGGACGCAAAGGAATTTCTCAGGCAAAAAAACAAACAAAAAAAACTATGGTAAAACTTTTTTTCCAGCAACGATCGCAGTTTGATCATCGCCACCATTGTTGTTTTGATCTAGCGTGAAGTAATCTCGTGTGACGAGATTTCCGTTCATGCGAGACGAGATTGGCGAGATCGGCCGTCACCCCGTGGAAAGCAGACGATTGCCAAGTTGTGTAACGTTAAGACAAGTGTTGCGAACAAGTATTGCGAAATTTTATTGCGGAGATATCACAGAGGAGGCAGCTAAAGTTGGATTGTTTTTTACGATAATAATCTTGCATGCCTGAATTATTTAAATTTTTGCAGCATTTGTTTATAAGAACTGAACCTATTATCAATGTATATTGTTGTTGTTTGTGTTATTATCATATGCAATTGAATAAGTAGATCATTTCAGAATTCGAAATTTGGGACTCTCTAAATGCATAATGGGACTCATACTTTTCACTGCCTGAGCATACACTCAACAACAACAGTGTTGCTGTCGAGCAATCCAGTAATAACATTGAATTAGTATTCAAACAAAATTACTTGTATTTAATTCTAAAGGGTTTATTCAGCAATATTTTTGGAATGCATGATTTTCAAGTCCCTGTGTATCGATGCCAAACACATCAAAATAAAGTGCCTAAATTGTCCTCCAATTCTGGAATGACTCGCTTTCTGTGTTTGAATTCCACAATAATACAGTTTTCCTGGTAATGTGTTTTACCTTTCCAGGCTATGGCTGCAAAGCCGGTTTCTCGCTCATGTGTCGGTGGTTCTCTTATTTGTTTGCAGGACAAGTCTTGCAGCCTGGCCCCGAAGGTGGCGATCTCCTTTCTACCAGATGACGGGGACGTCCTCCTTGTGGGCACTTTCTCCGGCCTCACTGTCTCCCACACAGCCTCACTGATTAAGGAGAAGCATAAAGCCAGTGACAACAAATCCAGAGTCCTTGCTTGTGTCAGCGGTCTTACAGATGCTCAGAGGGAAGCGATGCAGCAAGTCATCATCCACATGGGCTGCAAGAGTAGGCATGACTATGGACGTCTTGCCAGTAGTTAGGGGGTCCTTTTTAATTTTGCCCGATCAAATTATTCTTACCATCGGCTTCTTAATTCCGAGACTTGTTTCGCCTCATTATTCCAATATTCATAGAATCCATCTGTATTTATCGAGTGCTTTCACAACAGCTGCAGCTGTACAAAAGCACTTTACAGAACATGTAATATTAAAATAATACTACAGCAGAACACCTCACATAAAATATCGAGTCCATTAAGACCATTCTTGGACTCTGCGGACTTTCATCATGCAAATTTGCAGCACAATTGGCAACAAGTGCGAAAGTGCTCAAGACCACCTTATTTTTTTTCACTTGAAGGACCTGTGTTGGTTTTCCACACAAAAAATCTGAACGTTTGCCACAAGTTTAAAATGAAATTTAAAGTGACAGTATTGGAAGTGTTGGCTGAAAAGGCAAACTAACCCTGGACATTACATAACTGGACGTTCACACTCAGCTTGCACATTCAAAGAATGTTTGTGCTTCAGATCAACTGCTGTGTGAGGGGCATACAAGTTGCATATGAGTGAAGTCTGTCTCTGATCATTTTAGGGAAGCCAGCAACCACATAAAGCCATGTTTTCTTTGATTTCACTTCTCCAGAGCGGGTGGCAATTGGATGTATTTGTACATCCTGTGTGTCACTGCATCTAAAACTTGGATTACTGAAAAACTGCTCATGGAGAGGCGAGGAAAAGCAGAATCGAAATGATCTTTGTCGTAGGCGATATGGCATGACTCCTTCTTGTGACGGGCCAAATTAAAAAAAAATATTGCGATGCTATTTGGGCCATTTGGCAGAGTCGATCCTGGGTGTTACCGGTGCATAGATCAGCTTCCACGCAACTCCTACACTTTTAGTAAATAAGGCCCTATGTCTCTGTGCTCTGCTGCATGCTGCTTAGATGTGAAGCTGATAAACGAGGTGTTCCAGTCTCTCACCAGTGGTGACAAGCGTCTTGCAAAAGTCCGTCTTATCCTGTTGACTCCCAACTGCTCCTTGTCTGCAGTCAGCAATCCGCTTGAGTTCATGCTGCAAGAGAACAGAGGTACGTTTGAATGTGCAGGTGTGTTCTTCGCAAACCAGATCACACTGAAAGGAAAAAGCAATTTTGCGTGTTTGTTATATTCAGATGCCAGCTTGCTGCAGGACTTCTCCCAGGGTTCTCTGGCCCAGAGCAAGCTGGAAGCTCTGATAGCACAGCAGAGGGAAGATATTGATCATGCATTAAAGTGTGAGTGTCGTAAACCACTCGTTATCATGCTGAGACACACACACTGACACAAAGGCAGCGCACGCGTGAGCTCTGTGTGGAGCCTCGCTCACCTCCCTGACTGACTGCCTAATTATCTAATCTCATGCTAATAGAGCAAGCATATGCTGTCCCTGCGAGATTGTCTGTCCTTAATTAGATATGCTAATGTTGGTCAGCACGCAATGTTTCAAAGGCACCGGCCATTGCACGGTCTAATGCCAATACAAGAGCTGTATCATAAAAATGCCGCTCTGCGTGGCACTGTAAGGGAGGTATTGATTTAATACTGTGTTTGTTGTTGTGGTTGTGGGTCATTATTATCTCAGAGAGTTCATTCGGCTTGCACACAGCAAAGGAAATCAAGAGACTTTTAATTGTATTTTGCTTTGATTCCGAGTCAGGTCAAGGCTTACATAGTGGAGGAGGGGGGGCATTCATGAAGAAGCGGGAATTCCGTCAGCACCAATGGAAGGTCCCTGAGTGACGGACTCCCGTTTTGCTGGCGAATGATGGAAACTTTGGCACACTGACGGACTAAACGCAGACGGAAGCGATTTTTCATCCACCACCCGAATCATCACTTCCTCACGTGGTGGACTGTCTATCAGTAGCGATGGACTTATGGTCCATCAGAGACAGGCTCTCGTTTCGCTGACAACTGACGGAAACGTGCGGCGTGTCTCACGTGTGTCTGTTCACGGGGGTGACTGCACCGGGGTTGCTTCGAGCGGCGCGGCGTGGCGTAGGGTCTCATCGTCCTCCAACAGGAAGAAAAAAAAGACCCTTGACCATCGCTATTTAATTTGATGACTTGTGGTTGTGTTGGCTGTTAAATCATGGTTCCCGTTCTCCAAGCCTGCTTCTTTTTGAGGTCGTTCTTGCCAGTAAAGGAAGTTAGCTGTATTGTCTACCTACCTTTTTGTCCCACAAACCGCAATAAGACTGTCTTGTATTGTTTTTACTTCAGCAATCAGTGTAGTTAGTGTAATCAGGAAGTGGAGTTAAAATAATGATGACGGAGTGACGGACTGGTGGGCCGGCCACTGGCAAATGACAAATGATGGACCGGTGGAATTGTCTGACGTGCCCACTACTGCTGTTAACCTTGTAAACAGTTCTTTACTGACGTTGCTAAAAAAGCGGTGACCAACTGCAATTTAGCGAGAACAGAAGTGTGGTTAAAATAACGACGGGGTCACTCACAGACAGTGATGGACAGCGTTGGCTTGAAATATTGACAGACCAGCAAAATTTATTGACGTGTCCACCTCTGCATGCTATACTTCAAAGCACATCACTCGGCAATGTTTTATTTATCAAACGCTAAAAAGGTTTACTGCTATATCTCCACATCTGCGTGTCAATCTTTGCATGTTTTCAGCAATTATCTTCAAACGTGTATAATGTATTAATAAAGACATCTCTGAATTTGCTCTACAGGGTATTTTACAAAATGAGTTTTATAGCCCATGCACGACAGTGCATGTGGCCCTGCTCATTTGGTACATTCAGAGAATGTTGTTTTGTTTACGTCAGTAATCAAGCAGGTGGCGATCTTTTCTTTTGCGGCAATGAAAGTAGCTGCTCTCATCCTGCTGCCATCGATCGGCCCAGCCCGACATTTCTGCAAGTGTAGATATTTTCTAATGGGGCTGTTAATTAATGCTCAGTGTTTATTGAATGCCTCAGTCCAGTTGCATCAGTGGTCTCATTTCAGTGTGTCATGCTCAAACACCGACTTCCATCTTTCTGTCAAAATGTTTCCATCACGCATTTCAGGTTTGTGAAGCTTTTCAAATCTACATTATAGACGCGGTTGATTGAAAAAAAAAAATTGTTGTTTAAGAACTTAGACAGTAAAATTGGTGGAGCCATTTTTACAGTCACAATTTTTTTTCTCCTTTCGATGAGTTATATTTAAATATTTTGAAGAACAATTGCCTCCCCTAGAACGGGAATAATTCTTCACAATGGATCAAAATCTCTTCACTCAGAGGCCCTGCCGCCTACTCTCATCGGTGTAAAATGAGGATGAGTCGGTTATCCATCCACCCATCCTTCCAATTTCTAATCCGCTTATCCTCACGAGGGCCTCAGGAGTGCTGGAGCCTCTCCCAGCAGTCTTCCGGGCAGTAGGCTGGGTCAACCCTGAATTGGTTGCCAGCCAATCGCAGTGTGAGTAGGTTATGTGCTCATCAAATGAAAGTTGATGTTTGGAATTGTGTGGAGTACAATTAATCCACTACTTGAGTGAAGTTTACTCTGAATATTTTACTATCCTCCAAGTGTAAATGTGACTAATTTCAGACAGACGGCCAATATAGTCTTTTTCTTATTCTGTTGGCATCCTCTGGTACCATCTTGTTGTCAAGGAACCAAGCTGAAGTGAGCTTCCGTCAAAATAAAGCAAACACACTCATCATACAATCAATGCATTCAACCTCACATCCACCCGTTGGGATCATGTGCAAAACTAATAAATTCTGTTGCTGTATTTTTGGAGTTCCCCAAGTTTTGGCGGTTGTTTACGCAACCTGCTCGTCACACCCAGAGGAGAATGAAGAGGTGGTGACTAGAGCCATCGAGCAGGCCAATGTGATGCCACAGCAGGATTGGCGGCTACAAAAAAACGAGTTGAGGTCAGTCGCAGTTCGCAAGCTGACTCTCTGCATGTGTTGCCGTCACTCTCCTTCAGCTCTGCTGTCAGCCTGCTGAGGTCTTTGTCTCCCTCCAGGTAGACTTCTGTCAAAATCATCTAACACCTCCAACATGAACTTGAAGGTGCCGCTTCATGCTTTTTGAATGCTGTGAAAAGGGCGGAATACAGATGTCCAGTCAAATTCAATTTTTTAAAGATAAAATGACACTATATATACAGTAGATATATTAGTTTGCAGAAAATACATATGGAAATGTTATTTCTTCTCGGCAGACTCTTCTCTGTTGTTAACTGTCCTTTTGCAGGAAATGCCCGAGGCTGTATTGCATGAAACAAAACTTTTGTTTTTGTGATAGAGTCTACTGTTTTCACACAAATGGCACCTCTGTAGAACCTGAAAAGAAGAGCGATTTTTGCTCAACTGCATCTCCCCGCCATGTGCTCTGAACAAAAAGCCTTTTTTGCTTACTTCTTGGCTACCGATTAGTTTGCTAGATACTTTTGGAATAGCAAATTACCTTGGATCACGTGTTATAATATGTCTTGATAATGATATTGATTTATGTGAAGACACCGCTCATGTTAATGATTTCTCACAATAACTAGGAAATACAAATCAACATGCAACGCTGTTTTTCTATAAATCGCTGCCTGTTTAGATTTTCAAATAATCACTTGTCCAACATTCCTAGAAAATAACATCACAGGTGAGCTGTTGTTGGCACCATGTTAGTAACCTCTTCTTTTTAGGATTTAATCAGTACCCTTGAGTCATCTCGAGGTCCATGTGCTACTGTAGTACTCTAGTTGTCCTTACCGGTACAACAACAGTGTCTTGCAAATAACGTTTTTCTCCACTACTGTCAACTATGTGACATCTTTGCACTACTTTGAGACTACTTTGGCATATTAGTAGAATAGCTAGATATCACCAGTGAGTCAAAACTGTTCACTAGTTAACATCTGTTTAACTGGTAGTGAAGCGCAAGATGTTAACTTTTATGACCTTGTAGCGCCCATTTGTCAATTCAGCAAACGAGTAGAATGACTGTGTCTTACTGGTAGTGCATTTTGCCACTATCGTATGACATTTTTGATTTTGGCATACTATTAGTAAAACAACTAACTCTTAGTAGTGAGGCAAAACTACTAGTCGGTATTTTTTTTTTTTTTTTTTTTTTACCAATTGTGACACGTGTCTACTTGTTTGTAACTAGTGCAGCACAATAGTTTACTCAGAAAGTTTAATTGCATGACAGTAGGCCAAAAGTGTCAGCGGTTATTGAAAAAAAAGGTACGTCACAGTCATTCAACTAGTGCACTGAATTTTCTTGCTCGTGGGGATAGAGAGCATGCACCTTAAGATGATATCGAGGATATTGACTAAATACTCAAAACACCTTCCATAGCTCAGTCGACTTAAAAAAGCTCAATGTGTTTATGTAGTCGTAAGTGACACATTGTGTTGGTATTCAGGATTCTATTTTTATCAGTTTTTCTTTTCCGAGTGTTGTGCTCAGTGAAGTGTTACTATTGTATAAAACTCCTACTTTCAACATTTAACTACTCCTCCTGCCTTTGTGTTTACTTCTTCAAGACAAAGCCAAGCCCTATATAATCCTCCAGACCGTGCCGAAGGTCATGAAAGGCAAAGTGAAAACAATTCCTTCTTCAGGGTGGAACCCTCTGAGCTGAGTAATGGCTGCTTCATGGCTGTTCTCATCAGAGAGATGAAAGTGAAGGTAAAGGTCTTTTACAACACAATGAGACTGAAAGCAGGTCTTTCTCCAGTGGAAATGTATGAAAAATTAAATCAGTCAAAATAAATCGATTAAAAAATACAAGATAGAAAATTTTACATGTCACATGTATAGTATACAACAGCGAAATTTGTTCTGCATTTTCTGAGGAGCAACCGTGTCACGCCCAGTGATTGAATCCAGAATTTGTGCCGATCCTTGAGCCAAAGGAATCAACTGTGAATTAGCCTGGGACTTTTTAAAATTGAATAACCAATATACATATTAAGAATTGTTGCATTTTACAAGTAACACCCAACAGAGAGTAGAAATGGCATAACATTGACTTCAGTCAAACCTTTGAGTGAAAAAGGATGATTTAACGAGAACAATACATTTCTTCCAGTTTCCTACTACATGAAATGTGCAGATATAAAAGAGGGTGGAGTCAAGCAAAAGCAGCTGAGACAATTTTATTGAACCCAGGCAATGAATTAACCTTTTCATAGTTTCACATTTTGACACAAGCATGACAATAAAATTACCTTAAAAGTAACTTTTTTTTCTAGAGTGACCCAAAACACAGTGAATAATAAGGCTTCAAGACACAGCTCCACTCTAAATTTATTGTCAAACCAAACAAACATAAAACAAAAACACTTGAACGCGCATTCAAAACAACCACAGAACAAATTTCCTCCAGCTTTATACTTGCATCAAAGTAAAACACGATAGATGGGCTCACAAAACAGCGGTGTTGCAGGAGTTGTAACTCTTTAAGCAACGAATGCGTGCCCACAAACGGTGCGGCAACACATGGAGACTGACAATATAACAGTACTCACAGGCATATATTCTTTTTCTTCTGGGCGAAAAAAGACTAATGTGACTGCAGCTTCTTTAGTTGGAAACACTTCTTTGGGTATGTCTGCATTGTACTGCTCCTCGGGGGCCAATATGGGCACAACAGATTCAGCACAATGTGTGGCTGGGCAGATCAACAGCATTTCTATTTATTTTAAGGGGCCAAGACATTTTGAGAGATGAGTGTTTTGAGTTACTGTACAAGCGTGGTCACGGAATGAATTCAAGTCAGGGCATCACTCCATATTTTATGGGCTAGATATAACAGCGTTCAACGGGGAGTCTGAAACAGTCCCAGAACATTCTGCATTTTCAACACAATGTCACAGGTTCCAACTGAAACATGCACCTGTTGGTCTCCTGCAGGAATGTCTGAAGAGCGAAAAAAATATGCATATTATTCTAGATATTATGAATGTCTTTTGGTGTGGGCGTTAAGGGAACATCATTTGTCATTCTGAGGTTAGATTCGGTTTTCCAGGTTCAATCAGAGAAGAAGAGGTAGATGTGTGAAGGTGGATGATTTTTGCTGAGGACGGAGGGAAACAAATGAATCAAAGGCTGCAGGAGGTCATTGTCCCGGTGGCGTTATGCAGCACAATCACGTATGTGGTGATGGGAGAAGGTAATGAGAGAAGTGGGAGTGAGGGAGGCTGAAGCATGTCTTTGAGTTGATAGTTTGAGACGTTCATGCGGGCTGTTGTAAAAAGAGTGCTGTGATCCATAATGAGTTTCTGAGTCTAATGACGCTTTCATTTGATCAACACCAGTAACTGAGAGTTTATTGATACTCTTAATGCCTCATAAAGCCGTTGTCAACAATCCTGTTTAAGACAAAATCCATTTCTGCCTATACACGTTTTATCCTGATATGACTCAGTCTGCGCATTGGGCAGCATTTGAACTCCTTCTGTTTTGATGCTTATATGCAAATAAATCTCAACAGCTCAGACTGTACTTATGTTTATGTGGGATCTCTTTTCATTGTGTTTGATTGCATCTGCAAAAAGTCGGGGCATGAATGAAACTATCTGGATCCTAAATTGTTGCCATTTTGAGGTGTTGTTCAGATTTGCATTTGCTTGTTTTTACTCAAACGTTGGAGCAAATATGGATACAACTATAGATAAAGGAATTTAACGCTCTTAATTGAGGCACAATAGAACCATCTCGATCCCAGAACGGTGAAGTCTTGTCGTAACTTAGTAAACAGCCTGCCAATGACAGTAAAAGAAAACAGTGCCAACTATTTTGTTTTTTTACACAAAGTGAAAGGTTGAGATATTGAACATCTCTTCAAAAAAAGAGGCTTCATGTTGTTCTTTACCATTCCCAGGTGACGTTTACTGTCAAACTAAAGATCCAATTCAAACAATGACAAGTGCATTCCAAACAACCATAAAGCTTTCTTTTCCTTGGAATTGTCCGTTTAGCTTAATGCAAACAATGAAAAACGCCACAGAATAACATCAGTAGAAGTGAACAAAAATGGTGGAGCAACACATGTGAACCAATACCTGTACTATAACATTACTCGCTGGCATATGGTCTTTAACCTCTGTGAAAAATGACTAATATTACTGCGGCTTTCTGAGGAGTGTGCCCGTCTCCATGTATAATGTGTATCTCTGTATTATCATATCCTCAGGTGGCCCACACCAGAAGGAACAACACAAGGTCCACTGAATTGAAGCCCCCCCCC